TAATTCCGATATAGTCATACAACTTCCATTCAATTTGGACTATTGTGTTATGTGAGAAAACGTTATTTATTCATTAAATATTTGTTACTGCTCGCCAATTGCGCATACATGCAAAAACTTAGAAGTCGGATTAAAAAATGAACAGTTATTCAATTGAATTAGAAAACGTATTGGTGACAAACAGTCAAAAACTCTATACCAACAACCTACTAACTAAAACTCTCCACAAGGCATGCCACAACACAATGTTGTTCTTATTCTGACCGCCGCAGTTATCAAAGTGGATGTTGGCAACTTTCTCTCCATGACCATGATGCTGGAAATAGTGATAGACCATACTGACAACTGAGTTAGCTCCCTTGCTTATCCCAGTGCTTTCTGCCTCATCCACTAAATAGAATAACTGCTTTCCTGTAACTTAAAAATAACAAATTATAAAAGAATCATAAACTAGTATTGAGTGTTGATCATATTATTCGAACCCAGGAGGTTAGAGGCCTGTGAGTTGTAATCTAAGACCTTAACCACTGAGCAACTGCTAACCCCCATTAAAAGCAGTGCCTATTATAAATATGTAACATAAGCTGTTAAGTGGCTCTGCTGATAATCAAACCAGATGCCCTGTATTACATTGCTGTACTCTACCGACTGAGCTGAAGAGAAGTTTTCCCTACTAAAGCGAGTTATTATAAGGACACGTTTGAGTCAGCCCTAAATATGTACAGTATTAGTGCTTCCTACAATTTACCTGAGCCCCCCGAGCAGATTTCAAAAACACTGCACTTCCGTGACTGCAACTGCGAAAATAGGGACAAATGCGGCTAACGTCATAATGAGATAAAGCCGTCTAAAGTCATGAGACATATTTTCATAAATATTGCTCGTGGTTGGAATGTGGTTATTATTTAAACGTGTGTGTTTCTGTTATTATTCAGAAGTATTAAATAAAATTGAACACTTCTTGCACTATACGTCTGACCATGAACACTTCTTGCACTATACATTGACCATGAACATTTCTTGCACTATACGTCTGACCATGAACACTTCTTGCACTATACGTCTGACCATAAACACTTCCGTCTTATTAAATAAATATTTAGTTATCCTTCTACATGAGGATTAATGCAAAACGGTGTAGCTATATCGGCTCAACAATATAATAGTCTATACATATTATGGAGGGTGCTATTGACTCGCTATGTCGTCACATGACATGTAACGTGATCATGTTAAGACACTAGATTTCCATTCATAGTATAACATATAATAATGCATGTTTATACAAACAAAAATATAAAATATTAGGACACCAAACATACATATTCCCAAATTTACAAAACTTTGAAAAAAAAACACGACTGTTTTTAACAAATGCATATTCAAATTTGAAAATCTGGGTCAACAGTGGACTACGTTGTATCTTTTTGCAACCAATTATCAAAATATTAATTTTCTTAAGTTTACATAGTTTGCATAAACTTAACTGAACTGTTGTCAAGATACTTACGTTATGTGATGACAGTAATAAACTGTTGGTCAGTGTTCATCCTGCAGCTTGTATGGGTCCTGTTTACTGACTGAGGGTCAGTGTATATCCCGCAGCTTGTATGGGTCCTGTTTACTGACTGAGGGTCAAATACTGCATGCAGCTGTCAGAGGATAGTGAGTTTTGGTAGGGAGGCTTGCCCCACTTAAATTACATAACGCTACAATTTGGGATGGGTCAGTAGTCAAGTTTGATTCGGCAAAATAAATCTATATACCATAAGACGACTAACCTACACTATAATATAACTGTAAGCGTTTGTTAGTTAAAGAAAATAGAGAAGAAAACAAAAAGCACTTTTAAACATGTATTACTTTTCTTTTTTAATTAAGTGATTGTTTTCATTAAATATAGTTAATGAATGTATCGGGTTCTCCATTCTTATGTCAGCAATTACTATTCACTTAACTAATTTTTTTTTAAATATCAAAGTATTTTAATTCACAATATCAAATAATTTTCTTATATACCTTAATGAAGGCCCAACGTTCGCGTTACATTAAGAAAATACACGTTAATTTGAGATACACAATCTGTTGTAGATGTGATATAGATAACGTTGCACAAACATTGTACCAACGTTGTTGAGCCAACGCCAACGTTTAACCAACCATACAACCATAAAACAATGTTGGCCCAACGTTAGCATGCTATCTGGGAAATATGCTCCTGCGATTGGTCAAAACCGTGGGAACATATTCCTACGCCACTACAGATACTACTTTTATTTACTATACCACATGGTACATTTACTGTTAATTAAGGTGTGATTGATACTTACGATTTTGTTATTATTTAGTCCATTGCATTAAAAATTGTTAATTATTAACAAAAAATATATGGAACTACTTTGCACTGCGCGGAACTACAATACGATGATCGGAGTATTTTGGTTTTGACCTATATGGAGTCAGCTGATAACGAATAATTTTGTTTGAGGTGTTTTTTTATAATATGAATGTTATATGATAACTAGAATCTTATGAAAGTGTCCATGTCATATTGAATTTATTAACTGGCTCAATAAATTCAATTTGACATGGAAACTCATGTAAGATGCCCTATATAACGTAAAACTCCTTTAATGCTTAATGATAGTTAAACTTGTATTCATTTTATTTCCTCTTATAGCTCTTCCCAAAGTTCTGCTCGGAACCATTACGTTATCTCCGTTTGTTATTTGCGGCATACATGTATATATTGTTCTCTAATGATGTTAATATCCAATACTTGCTTTGCGTGAAACGAAATGATTGTCTTATAAATTGTTTGTATATACAAAGGACACACATCTATTCGGTTGTATTGAAAACTGATGTCATAGAACACAGCATCTCTGATATGTTAAAATAACGCTCGTTGAGTTGTTTAAATGTGAAATAGATCTAATCTAATAATTTAAATATATATATATATATAATAGATAAAAAATAAATAAGTCCTTGCGAAGGAAAATATAGAATAAAAACAATTTTTTCAGATCATCCGCTAGGCCTTTCTGCCTTCTAGGGCTTCTTCAGGCGGATTCATATATATAATTATAATCCGTGATGCGCGTACACAAACCATGACATATTTACATACAACTTGTCACTGTACTGTTACATCTAATAACAAAAAAAAGTGTATCTAGCAAGTCCTTTTATATAAACATTCTGTGTGTGCATTATCTTTCACAGTTGGTCCATGTACTGTACAGCGAGCAGCTGTATATACAGCTACATGTATTGTTACGTTACACTGTCATGTGACTCCTAGTCGTCGACACATGTACATGTTCATATTGAAGAGATTTTATTTTTTTCTGGTGTCATCGACATTTGAATAGGACGTTTTGTAATATGCCATCTGTTGTAAAGTTAGAAATCAACAGGCTACCATCTCACATACAAACGGTCAACTTTTTCTTTTATCTGCTTTTGACGTTTCACCATTTACAGTCATGGAGAATTGGTCGGCAACACCTTAAGATAAACATGGCAAATATCTTTCAATGGAATCACATTCTTTAAGATTAAATGAATAATAGGTGATCACCAATTGTGATTGTAAATACTGTTCAATATCTAACGCTGCAGCGAGAGTAGGCCATACATCTTTTTCAGTAAATATTGATGGAGAATTGCAGTCGGTACACACGGAGATACATGTAACAAGAGATGGAAAGTTGGAACAATCAGGGAAGTCGTCTCAATGGAAGGCTTATGGTTTGTCCACTTTTGAGACAACTATGCTGATAAGTCATATGCCCGTTCGTTCCGAGTATTGATCCACTAAATTTGGTTTCGTTTTACTTTGTTTACCGTTCTTATAACAGCTAAGGTCATTTAAGGGCGTGCCTCCATGTGTGTTGTGTATGCATGCATGTGTGTATGTGTATGCATGCATGTGTGTATGTGTGCCAGAGACAGGGTTTGTTGGTAGCCTTCAATTGTTTTAACATGATTTTTGAAATTAATACATTAATAAAAAAACATTTACCAAAACAACGAAGAGGAAATCAAATATTGAAAAATTTAGAAAGGCGGTGATAATGCTGAAAACATGTTGTGGACTTTGTGGCTATAAAGTATATATAGGACTTACCAATTATGCATAATGTCAAAAATAATGAAATCCACGATAATTTATCTAAAGTGTTCCGGAACACGTGTAGACATAGAACGCAATGGGGCAAGTTACCTATAAATCCCTTTATTGTGTCATAAGTTGACAACTCCGGGATAAAACACATTTTTTTTACATGATAACTAGCATTTCAAGTAAACCAGAACAAATTCCAGCTACAAGGTTACTGCCATGACTGACAATGTATTGGAAAATTCTTTGTTTGACTAAATTGAGTAGACCGTTAGAGAAATTAATTTCAAATTGTCCATCTTTATTGAGTCTAAAAATTAAATACCTTTATGTAAGAATGTAGACATCCATACTGAACAAATCACTGCTGTAGGTGCGGGTACGTCAGGAACATCATTTGTCAGAGTGCTGAACAGGGCATCAACATCATTAACTAGATATTGGATACTGTTATACTAGAGAAGGGCATAAAGGCCGTAGAAAAAAATTATGACGATGGGTTTATTTTGTGTTTCTGAGAGGAAATTTCGACTTACTGTCTCGAACTTGCGAGATAATAGCTGGCGATTTCAAGAAAATGACTCGAAATATCGACTTACTAACTCGACATTTGACTTGATTAACGTGCGCAATACCCGCATGCAGGTGCAGACATAGTGTTTTCAGATAAGGTGCACAACAGGCGTTAAGCCATACTTTTACGAAGGGGGTCTAGGGGCGAAGAGCCGGTAAGGAGTAGGGGGAGGAAGAGGGAGCGAAACCCTCAGAAGCTGTAATAAAATAAGCAAATTAATATTTAAATATATAAACAAATATTTGAAAATATTTATATGAACAAGGATGTATTAGATATACAACAAGCTCAGTGATAGTAGGGTGTGAATGGTTTTATTGATTCCTGTTGTAATCCTTTGAGAGTCTTCCATTACCGGCCTCCGCTGGCGCTACCACCACCGCCTATATTGGACCAGAGTCTGCAGGAGGTTCAAATACATCTGTGTGAAAAACGAACATATTTAAGCAGATGCATATTTTAGCAAATATTGTTATGGTCCTATTACACATCATGATATTGATGACAAACTTAATAAAGCACTGTAGGACTATAACCATATTTGCTAAAATATTCATTATTTATATTTACATTTTGATAGAGTAGTTATGCTTTATCTAGTTATTTCGAACAGCTTGTTGAACAGGACATTCAATCTTGACAACAATGAAATTGACAACGTTCAAGTTCATTTATTTCCTTAAGCTTTACAGCTGATCCATAGAGATTGATGACGTTACAATAGCAAATGTTGTTATAGTCTCATAACAACATTTGCCTTTTCATTGCATTGCAAAGGAAGGATGCAGAGCAAATGTAAATATTTATATTCAGATGCAGTCGTTTAGTGCGTAACAGCAGATAAACAAACATGTGCATTTCTATCATGTTATATAAAAGAAAACTTGTACCGTCAATTAGAACACATACATTGAATACGAAAAGAGGAATAATAATAAAAGCTGATCTGAATATTGATGGATTTGACACTATTGTATGTATAGAAAATATCTTTATACAAAATTGTTGAAAACACTGTTTTTGCTTATATATGGGTTAATGTCAGATGTTAAAGTAGATTCTAATGAGTCTAAAATCGTAATGATTTCTAACCCAGACACAGACCAAAATAAGCTGTGCTGGAATAGTACCAAAAACTCTTTGGTACATGGCTCAAGCTTATTTTAGATTTAAAAAAACCCAGCATGCTTAATATTGATATCTGCACGCTTTATACATATGGATCATGATTTTCAAGCTCTTAATTATTTCTTCAATTTTCAGTTCTGAATTGTTTTAACAATATATAGTTTTACATACCGAGAAATATTCGGCCAGTCAAATATTCGCCTTTCACTTATAGAATATATATTCGCCCTGTGTAAATACTCCCTTTCACAAGTAATAGCATGTGTGTACAAACGTTCACTGTTATGATAAATTCACCCTTATTGTAGTGGGCGAAAACGGCATAAATCAGACTGAAGTTCGAATTTCCCGGTAAACAATCAGTACAGTGTTGGCAAACAACAACATTTTGCACACCTACAATTTGGCAAAAGAAGGTTTTTTCTCTCAAAAATAAGTTATAGATTTGAGGTTTTTGTAGTAAAGCAAATTTTCATGATGTAATGCTTACCATAACTTATGTACTAAAGTTATGGTAATTATTACTGAAATGAAATGAACATACGGTAAAAGGATCTGATGTTTGTAAACATGCTTGATTAGAAGTCTACAGATATGTAACACCATTAAATATTTGTTAATATTGAAAATATAATTGATTAAACATTTGTTTTTGTTTTGCAGCAAATGGTTAAAAGTCTATGTGAATTACGGGTTCAAAACAAATTACCATTAAAAATGTAAATGCTATAGCTTAAATAAAAGGGACATACTATAAAAAATGTTTCAGAATTATTTTATTTACCCAAATCAACAATCGTATTGAACGGGGAGGTCCTACCGAAAAATATTCCGCAAAGGGGTCGAAAGGTCGGTGATGACAGTTTGTGACTACATAAAGTTGTATCATTTATTATGGTTGACAGTTGACCTACATGCAGTAACGCATGCAAACATCTGTTGAACCAATTCAATACTAATTAACGTTTATATCTACCTCCATCTTGAGGTTCGCCAATGATATTCCTTTTTACACGATAAACACCTTCCATTCCACCGCCGTTATCTCCGTTAATCTCGCCTTGTACTGCAAAAGACAAGAAACGACTTGTTTCATGAACGTACATATACAAACACAATTTTATTGCATTCATTTTTACCTGTATAGATAGTGAGATAGAGATAGGCAATGATTGGGAGGGAGGAAGGGAGGGAGGGAAGAAGGGAGAAAGAGTCTGGAAAAAATCCAGTGAGCCTTGTGTTAGTCAAATGAATGAACTAAAACAAAAGTTCGGACATTGACGTCTTCGGGTGCATATTGAACTGAATTGGATAGTTATCAATAAATCGTGACACACATTGATAACACCTATGACAAATATTTATATACTCCTGATACCTAGCAACTGATCCAAATACATATCACAATCCTCAAAGACACATTAGTTACTACCCAAACACCTCTCAACTCTAGGTACATGTCAATTTCATATAATCTACTCATTTAGTGTTGACTATTCTTGCTACATATCGTGTTATCCTTTGACATATAATACCTACTCCTTTATACTTTGATAACTCTCGTGACATATCGTCACTTCCTTTGACATATTAATTCTACTCCTTTAGATATTTAATACTCTCGTAACATATCGTCTGATCCTTTGAAATATAATATTTGTTCTTTTAGATATTGTCTTCTCTCGTGACATATCCTTTAATCAATTTACGTATTAAAACTTCCTTGATATCGCTCGACTGTAAATGTATACAATAGTATCCCTACACTCGTCAACAACATCCATAGCGTATCAGCTCTTTCCTTCACATATCTGCAGCCCTCGTGACATATAAACTATTCCCTTGACATATATGCAGCCCTCTTGACATATCAAATATTCCCTTGACATATCAGCAGCCCTCATGACATATAAATTATTTTCTTGATAAATCTGCAGTCCTCACGACATATCAACTCTTTTTTCGACATATCTGCATCCCTTGTGACATATCAACTATGTTCTTGACATATCTGCAGACCCCGTGGCATATTAACTATTTCCTTGACATATCTTCAGACACCGTAACATATCAAATATTTCCTTGGCATATCTGCAGACCCGTAACATATTAACTATTTCCTTGACATATCTGCAGACCCCGTTACATATTAACTATTTCCTTGGCATATTTGCAGCCCTCGTGACAAATAAACAATTTCTTGACATATCTGCAGCTCCCGTAACAAATAAACTATTCCCTTGACATATCAGCAGCCCTCATGACATATAAATTATTTTCTTGATAAATCTGCAGTCCTCACGACATATCAACTCTTTTTTCGACATATCTGCATCCCTTGTGACACATCAACTATTCTCTTGACATATCAACAGCCCGCATGACATATCAGCTATGTCCTTGTCATAAATGCAGCCGCCGTGACATATCAGCAATTTCTTTGGTATAAATGCATCCCCCGAGACATATCAGCTATTTCCTTGGTATAAATGCAGCCCCCGTAACATATTAACTATTTCCTTGACATATCTGCAGCCCCCGTTACATATTAACTATTTCCTTGGCATATTTGCAGGCCTCGTGACAAATAAACAATTTCTTGACATGTCTGCAGCTCCCGTGACAAATAAACTATTCCCTTGACATATCAGCAGCCCTCATGACATATAAATTATTTTCTTGATAAATCTGCAGTCCTCACGACATATCAACTCTTTTTTCGACATATCTTCATCCCTTGTGACATATCAACTATTCTCTTGACATATCACCAGCCCTCATGACATATCAGCTATGTCCTTGTCATAAATGCAGCCGCCGTGACATATCAGCAATTTCTTTGGTATAAATGCAGCCCCCGAGACATATCAGCTATTTCCTTGGTATAAATGCAGCCCCCGTAACATATTAACTATTTCCTTGACATATCTGCAGACCCCGTTACATATTAACTATTTCCTTGGCATATTTACAGCCCTCGTGACAAATAAACAATTTCTTGACATATCTGCAGCTCCCGTAACAAATAAACTATTCCCTTGACATATCAGCAGCCCTCATGACTTATAAATTATTTTCTTGATAAATCTGCAGTCCTCACGACATATCAACTCTTTTCTCGACATATCTGCATCCCTTGTGACATATCAACTATTTTCTTGACATATCAACAGCCCTCGTGACATATCAGCTATGTCCTTGTCATAAATGCAGCCGCCGTGACATATCAGCAATTTCTTTGGTATAAAGGCAGCCCCCGAGACATATCAGCTATTTCCTTGGTATAAATGCAGCCCCCGTGACATATTGAAAAATCAACCATTACTTTGACATATCTTCAGCCCTCGTCACATAGAAAATATTTCCTTGGCATACATGCAACCCTCGGGACAATTCAACTATATGCTTGACATATATCAGCAGCCCTCGTATCATATATGGCATTCAGCTATCCGTGAGTAAAACAGTTGGTAAATACCACAGACAGACGGAGTAAATCTATAATAACTACAACCATAAACTGATGATGAAAAACAGGACATTCCTGTGCGGTTGGTGAGCTGTAAAACTTAAAACGTAAGAGATTCTTATAAAACAAACCTTTACGTAGCAGTTGATATTGAAAGACAATCACAGATAATATGGAAGAATACATGGTAAGAAACAGTATTTTTAACAAAATTTAATATCTGGGGGAGGTTAAACATGAGAACATTGATAAACTCGGACGAAAGACTATGTCATTATTCGGTTACTATTACTGTCCATTTCACAAAAACTTACTCCAGTATTACCCTACTGTTTACACTTCCTGTCACGTGGACTCGCTTTTGGTGAACGAATGTTCAATTTTTTTTATAAATGATGACTAGTTTTACTACCTTCCGCGAACCGTTCAGAAAAATCTAGACACTTTAGATTAAATTAAACGCTGTTTTCACTATTAACAATTACCATGTAATAATTACTAAAAAAATAAGTGTTTTCCATATGTTATATAATTTGTTATTCATCTCTGTAGGTTCGTCATAAATATTTAGTCATAGATACAAAAAATAAAAAGTGCTCCGTAATGTAAGTATCATTTGCTTCTTGGACGAATCCAAGTAGTGTCATGTTCACAAAGAATCATTAGTAGTGACAACGAAACCATAGGAATAACTTACCAGCAGGAAAATCAACAACATTTATAAATGGAAGTTGAAAGGTATAATTGCATGCTATTGATAACCAAACGAGTAATTTTCTATAAATGAATCAATGAGATACATTATATTATGACGGCAAAATCAAAGTTAAACAGAATGTGACAATTGTGTCAAGCTACTTACTGTTTCGGGAATTTCCCATGAACAAAGTTATGACGCAGATGGTAATCATCAGTACAATTGCATGCCGCATCGTTATAATGTCAGACCTCTTAAGGATACCTGTGTTTCTCGGGGCGTTCACCGGAATAACATACGAAGAGTATCCATATGTGGGAGTTAATATACGGACGACCGACAAATCTCACGAGGACAGGGTGTGTAACAATGGTATCCGCACAACAAACATTGATTGTTTGGTCGATTTACTTTTCTAATTATAAACATGAATGTGATAAGCTTGCATAGATTTAGTTTCTGAAGCTTGACATGTCATAGGCTTGAAACGAAATTATCAGTATGGAATATGAAGCTTTTCAAAAAATTGCATAAAGGTATTTTTAAGTGTTGTTTCTTTTGAATAGCAACATAAGTATAGTAGAACATTGTAAAGACATTTGCTTAGCACAATTGGTATCAATTTAATCGCGTTAAAAACTCACAAAACTTGGCCAGAATTTGCAATGTGTCGCCTTAAAAAACTTTAAGTTAGTCTTTCTTACAGACAAGAAGTAATCGGTTGTAAGATTATGTTAACATGTCTTCTTTGATATAACCAGTACAGGGAGTTCAAGGAATGTGTCATAAACAACATATGTTGTATCTATTTTTTCTCCATTATAATAAGATAGGGTTTTTCTTTTTATATACCCCTCCGAGTCTCAAACAAAGATGCACACTCTGCAGGTTTATTCATTCCGGATTTCATACCAGATTTAACACAATCACGGTTATGGTCAATAAAAACACATCTGAAGCAAAGCTTGTCACCTTGGAAAGCTGAGTGATCTTTTTAAAGGCGATTGATCATACGGCTTCCACCGGACAAAATCAGTAGTACAAGAATACACGCTGTTCCTGCTCTCGTTTGGAAACCAGCTTTAAAATCGATCAAAGAGATTTATTTTCGTAATGAATTCGTCCCAATGTACTTTCAGTAAGGCTAAATCAATTGTATGTGTATATAAAAGATATCAACAAAATTTTGGGAAAATGTGCCCATACAACTGTTTCTAGCGTTACAAGTGTTTGTCTGCGACACATGGAAGACCATACGGAGACTCTGGTGAACTCACTCGTGCCATCTTTAGTTATTTCCGTTCTTACTATACGATCACTCAGTGTATTCTCCTAAAGATGCTCCGAATGACATAAGGAGGATATATGTCATTAGTATGAGTAACCTCCTACATAAAAATCCGTCGTAGCTATCATACCACTTTACTTAAGATATCAAATTTCACCATTTTTTCTTAGTTATTCTAAGGTCATTGTCTCCATGAATTTTTACTTCTCGTACATGCTACATCGTCTTGATTCAGATGACCATAGAATAACTAATCGTTCGCCATGTTTTTTGTTCCACATCCTCATACAAGCAGCTGGATATGTAGCAACTATCGATTAATTTACCCATAATTTAGAGCTACGGAAGCTATTCCTGAAGGGCCCTGATTATTGAGAAGCTTCTACTATCAATTTAAATTTTAAAAAAAATATATGTCGATGGATTCGTTGATAGATTCCGCCAGACAATGGGCAACACGAAAACATGCTGAATTGGATTCACTTCCGGAGTTGGTTAAATCTATCCGGTCCATCGTTCTATATACTAAGCTCGAAATCCAAAATTAAAACCCCCACATAAATCGGCATTTATTGACCCTGATGTCCAATCCACACTGTGCAGCGACCCATCAGGTCCGTGAATCTAAACAAAATACTAAGTAAGCAGCACATGTAGTTCCAAATCTAAAATCTAAATCCTAACCCTAACGCAAACGTAAACAAAACATAGATCAGCAGTACTTGGCCTTGACATACAAAGCGCACTCAACGATCTACATAAAAGGTATGTACTGTAGTTGTATCTGCAAACAAAGTACCTAAAAATTGCAGCCTAGTCTTCCAACACTATTTTGTTCTCTCCTTGCAATAGGAACTAGACTTATTTTATCAACAAGGAGGATCATAGATAAAAAAAATGGAAATATCCATTTGACAGAAAATGTTCCGTTTTTTAAATCAAACTCCTTTTAAAAAAAAAATGATTTAATATACTTTTGTTAAAAATCGTCCTTTCCAATCTATTTTTGTGATCAACTAATGATTCCATATGATAAACAATTGTTATACATATTCGAAACTCCCTTGTCTTTCCAAAAGATTATACAAGAAGTGTAATGATTGCGCATATAGGATTATAGCCCAATTAGTTTGAAATTTACCGTATTTTATTAAACATATGATGCGCACGTACATGTTTTGATTAGAACAAACAAATGGATATTTTAAGGTGAATAAAAATGACAGAATATATAAATTTTAAACTGACACATATTTTAGCAATTAAAATTCTATTGAATTATACACAGCACAGCCCTAAAAATCTATGATCGTGACGACCTACAATTGTAACTGTTGGTAGTCCGATTTGCTGTCTACGTGAAATGCATCCGACCGGTATTGACGTCAGTCTACCTCCTCTTCGGAAGATACTAGACTGGTAATGCTGAAGCTAACACGGATCATTACTCTTGACATCTAGGAAACACGCCGAGCTATAAAAAGCTGGTATTATATTAGGAAACCTACAAAAACGAGTATCAGACACCATTAATCCAATAACTAATAGTCGTGTGAGACAAGAGGTAAATACATAGACTTGTCTTAACGGTTACTTTGTCCACAGAACATGTCGCGAGGAAGGCTCATCTTGTTCATTGTGAATTGATGCTAAGAAAGACATCAATCTCGTATTGACGAGATATAGAATAACGGCACAATTGTGCATCAACCGATAAGAAAGTAAAGAGATACACTGGTTAGGAATGAACAGTTTGTGTTTTTCTTAAAAACAGAACTTTTTATCAATTATCAATTCCGATTGAGAAAGAATTTTGTAATTTGCTGAATTATAATGCATTATTTACCTATCACATGCAGGACTCGAATATCGCTTGAATAAAAATTCCTGTGAAATCTGAAAACTAGAACATGTACGATTGTATTATATTGTGTTTTGCTATGCGTGTTTTCTCAAAGTGCTTCAATGGTTCAACGTATTGTCTAACGTGTAAACAATAGAAGTAAATATTCAAATCAAAGGTCTAGAAAAATATGATAATCATGTTTTATTTCGTGATATGTAAGGGTGAAATAGCAATCTAAAACGGTGGTCATAAATATCTGTTAAAGGGTACCTCAGTTTAAAGTCATACAGTGCGTAGGTCAATAGTAACATATGTTACATTGTATGCCTATTGTATACATGCATGAACTTCAGGATTACATACCGTATAATTTCTTGTCACTGTGAGGCTACTAACGGGCACTGCGGATAATGGGAATTGATCTGTATTTCGTACAGTATTGGTTTGTGTAATTTGTTATTCATTGCAGAGTTATCTGCCTTAAAACCATTCTTATATATATCGATTTAAACGATTGCATTCTGTATAGATTTGGTGTAATTATCATTTCGACCTGAATGATTAACTCCATTTGGTGTTTTTTTTGTTTCTATGTTATTGCAATATTAAGTAACAGGTAAATTCTGGTATCTCTTGCATCATCAACAACATCCTCGATACTCCAGGGGTTACTGTCCTTAGCTGTACCCCTGGAATATGTCATAGCGTATTCGAAGGTTCAGTACACACCACCTTATGGATAAGACGAGAACACTAGTTTGATCCTTTGATGTACATCAAAAGAATCTGTCGGTCGTGTTACGGTAAAATTGACTGGCTTTGAAGTCGAATGTCGCTCTTCTGTAATCTTCAAAGGACAGGTGTCAGCGATTTGACCTATCAAATAGGTAGTCGCAAGCCTTCAATTAAGCTATGCATATCCTAGGGATTTGAGTGTAACCCCTGGAGTATCGAGGATGCATCTACATTAGCATGACGTCATGACAGACGTGGATCAAGGTCATGGTTCAACTCGTCTTAATTACGCAACGCCAACAAGTTAAAAAATGACAGAATCATTTCAATAAGTATGCACAATGGGAAAGTGATCTATTGTTGAGTTGTTTCTCCCTGTGTTTGCTCCAAAAGCCAGAGTTATGTATAAGAGAATGATAATCATTGATAAAACTTCCAATAAAAACAACTGCTCATGAAAGAAAGCAAGAGTGGCATATTGACAGGATGACCTTATTGGCATATTTGTATTATACATGAATTTTATTTTCCAGTATGACGTAAGGAAGATTACATTTATTGTCATGTATGTGATCAACCATTTACAGTAAAATATATGATGATTGAGTGCGCTGATATCAAACAAATACGTGACAGATTAATAATGTAGGCGCTATAAAAATTGTGTTTGATACAGTTACATCGCAATTAATATATGATTATTTACACATAAGATATAGACTGTACAACGGTTTTGTATACTATTAATGATTTTTTTAAATCTTTGACATCTTTTGTGATGTTTGTTTTTTGTTTCATGCATTTTTTTCCGAATGCCTATTTTCACTGTGTAGCCCTAAATGACTTGCATTGCCGATTGGCCGTAAACCAATACAAAAACAAACAAAAAAATGTCCCAGTATATCAAGACATCTATGTATTAATTTACAATAATAAAACTTAATATTGCCGCACCTCAGAAGTCACCAATACGAACTGGAATTGAATTGACTTGCAACTGGTTAGGGATCACCAAGGTTAAAGAAGGACGGCAAGCAACATGCAGTCGATAGCCTCAATGTGTGATACATAATAGAAGTAATATAGTTAACCATGTCAAACGACCAGGTATGCTTAACGGTTTTTTATATTAAACCAACGATGATTAAAATACAAATGCGATGTTATAATTCACAAAAACATAATGCGGTTTTATTGGAAAATGATGACAGATTATCTTGAAATACCGACGATACATAGAAATATATTAACGCAGCAAGGTGACAAACTCTTTGAATGTACGGTCAATGCTTTGTTAAGTTGTCGGCACATTAACAATCTGCCAGTAACACAACGAAATTATTCACATCGTGTGTCGAGTTTTAGTATATAAACAACCACTAATGTATTACAATTGACATAGTGGGTGTGTAACGTATGAAAGTATTCATGCCTGGTCGGAG